GAAGTGACAAGCATGAGAAATGGTTCATTCTCTGTGATTTACAGGGCCAAGATACAGTTCATAAACAACAGTGGCTAAAACGTTACTGCTGATTTGCTGAAAATAGTGGAAGACATGCTTGTTTTGACTGTTGCAAGAGGAATGGATCTGCAGAATACTGACAACATTACTTTGTGTGAGGGATTTAAAAAAATTTCAGACAAGTGTAGCATAACTGAAGATCAGGTGCTGAATTTCCTGGAGTTCCTTGACAATAGGTCTGTTTTCCACCTCTCTCTGTTGCACTGAACCCACAAGAGAATTCTGTCTGCTCAATTCAAAAGAAATATCAGGATATTCTGTATGGCAGTCATGAAAAGGGTGGACTATTTCTTTTATTAATTTGGGCTGGAACAGTCATTGACTTCTCTCCAGATAAGAGGTGGGTGTGTAACAGCACTAGTTATCTCTAGATACCAGCATCCAGAAGGAATGGCTTGGAAAAAAAAGAGCAGGGACTGCGTATAGCACTATGCCTTGGAATAGTTCTGGTGTGGTGGGGCTCATTAGTTGGCATAAAGCTAATTATGAAGATGATCTGCCAGTACCTCTCTTAGCACCTAGTGTAAAGAGTGTTTGCATGGCAAACCTAAAGAGGACAGGGTGAGAGCACCATATACTCTGGTTGTTCTCTGCTTCCCGTGGCCTTGATGTTACTCTAACTTACACTGAGGCCAGGCAGGCTTCCAGCTGCCCCAGAAAACAGCGGATGCAAAATGCCACTCCCACCTGTCGTCCCTGGGGAGAAGTCAATGACTGTTCCAACCCAATTAATGTTTACCTTACCCTTGCTTCCTACCTTAGTTCTTGCTTTACAACATGGAGGCTGGACCTAGAATTCTGTAATGGAACATGACCAGCCATTGCTGTGTGACTAATTCCCTTTTCCAAATTGTCAAAAGACAGTCTGGAAGCAGGAAAGGTTTTCTGATGGGCTCTGTATTTGGCATGACATGAGTGGTAGCTCTATTGTACAGTTTCACAGCTGCTGAGGTATTGAGCCCTGTCTTGCTCTTAGTGCTTGGAGGGACGGATTTATGTTTTAATTACTAGACTAGTGGTTTCAGACCACTGTGGGCGTATTATGTTTTAACTGCCTTCTTGTCTTTGAGGGAGAATGTGATTGACTTACTGACTGTATTGCCTAAGTTTTTGGGTTTTTTCCTCTGAAATGTGTTGATATAAACAGAGAGAGAAGCATCTGGCCTGATTACATGTTAGTGTCTATAACCTGTAGGCAGAGAACTCATGCAGCCAGATCTTGCCAATCTCTAGAGACCCACTGCCCTGATAGGGAATCTTATGCAGAGTCATGATGCAAACAACATGTATTTTTAGCAGTCTAGAAACAATGCAATATGGCTCAATATAGGGACCACAGAGGAGGCTTGGGGCTAGTATAGGTTTTGTTTTAGGGGATGGGGTAGTTTTGGCTTATTGTAGTGTGGTGTTCTTGGATTTTAGACTTGTGGTTTATTGTTGGAGGGATATGTGTGGTTTGATGGTACAGATCCAACATATATGATTCCTAGCCTTTTCTGGCATGGGGCAGTGGTACTGTCCCAGTAACATACTATGGGCAACATCATACTTGGTGATCTTTGTCAACCTTAGTTTTAATTTTCAGTATCTAGTGGCTCCAAGTAACATTTGTAACTCTTGGAGACAACATGTTGCCTACATGCCAAAGGAACTACTGTCCTACTTGCTTTCCTACATGATTTTTTAAAGAACTTGGCTTATGGAGCATAGTTTGAACTAGTTCTGTCTCTGAGCATTGTAATTTAGATTATAGACACGTCTTTTTTATTTCTTTTTTTTCTTTTCTTTTTTTTTTTTTTTGGAGGCAGTATTATGATTATTTCACTCTTCTGCACAGATAAGTGTCCCTGTCCAGAGGAGCAGGTGTCACAAGAATTTGTCTTTGGTTATGTCAGTTCTGATATTTGAAGATTCTGCTCAATTGCCAGAGAAATCAGAATGGTGGTTGAAATGATCCCCCAAAACAGCATGTATAGAGTGTATTGAGAGTTGGGCCTGGTGCCAGCATGGCTGCACTGCATTTGGAGCTAAATTTAATGCCTGGTACATTCAGATCTCTCTCTTTCTCAGTGCTCAGCAACCAACATATATCAGGAATAAAACATCCAGGCCCAAAGTGACATTTTATAGAGATATTTACCTGAAATAGGGTATTTGCTGCTGCCTCTCCTTTAATAATCCCATAATATTGTTTGAATGTGCACAGTATAATCATTTTAAGGACGCGATCCTAAAAACACAAGGAAAGTCCATTCCAGCCCATAGGAAAGGTAGTAAAAGGGCTGGTAAGACCCCCTTGGCTCAATAGGGAATTCATGGACCTCCTTAATCTTAAAAGAAAAGCTTATAAGGGTTGGAAGACGGGAAATACCTCTAAGGAGAATTATGTATCACTGGCCCACACCTGTAGAGAGCAGACCAGAAAAGCCAAGGCTGAAACCAAGCTCAGACTGGCTACAGGAATCAAGGACAATAAAAAGTCCTTCTTCAGATACATGGGAAGTCGAAAGAAAAATAAGGGCAACATTGGACCCCTGCTGAATCAAATGGGGACCCAGAAAAAGGTAATCTTCTCAATGATTACTTTGCGTCAGTTTTCCACCAGCCCAAGGGGATCACCCTGCCTGACAGGACACAGGATTACCAGAGTAAGAGCGACCATATGCCTACAATTGGCGAAGATCTTGTGAGGGAACACCTCGAGAGGCTGGACATCCACAAGTCAGCGGGCTCAGACAGAATGCACCCAAGAATGCTAAAAGAGTTGGCTGACATCATAGCACAACCAATGATGAGGATATTTGAAAACTTGTGGCTTTTGGCCCTCCAATCTTCCTGGAGATTGGAAGATGGCCAACATGTTGCCTATCTTTAAGAAGGGAAGGAAGGAGGACCCAGGGAACTACAGACCAATCAGTTTGACCTCAATCCTTGGAACGATCCTGGAAAAAATTATTAAAGAATCCATCAACAACAGGCTAATGGAAGGCAACGTTCTCAGAGATAGCCAACTTGCTTTCGTTACAAGTAGGTCATGCCTGACCAAACTCATTTTCCTCTATGACCAGGAGATGTATCACCTGGACAGGGAAGGAGAGGCTGATGTCATTTACTTGGATTTCAGAAAAGCCTTTGACTTGGTCTCCCATGATGTCCTCATGGTAAAATTGGGGAGCTGTGGCCTCGACAACCTTCTGGTGTGATGGCTGGGGAACTGGCTCCGTGGTCAGACTCAGAGAGTGATTGTCAATGGAACTGAGTCAACATGGCACGTAGTGACCAGTGGCATCCCCCAGGGTTTGGTTCTCGGACCAGTACTCTTTAATATATTCATAAATGATCTGGATTTGGGTGTCAGAAGCGGACTGGCTAAGTTTGCAGATGACACCAGATTACAGGAAAGCGCAGTCACTCCTGAGGAAGGGCTGGGGATTCAGGCTGACCTGGACAGGCTTGCAAGGTGGGCAGATCAAAACCTGATGACATTCAACATAGAGAAATGCAAGGTGCTTCACCTCTGGAGAAAAAAAACACATCATACCTATAGGCTCGGCAGCTACGCTCACTAGCACCATGACCAAAAGAGACTTGGGGGTCATGACTGACCACAAGATGAATATGAGCCACCAATGCAATGCTGTAGCCAGCAAATCAAATAAAATCCTGGCTTGCATCTACCTATGCATCTCAAGCAAAGACCCAAGAAGTCGTCCTCCCACTTTATTCGGTTTTGGTAAGGCCACAGCTGGGGTACTGCATCTAATTCTTGGCTCTGCATTTTAAAAAGGATGTGGAAAAGCCTGAGAGAGTCCATAGGAGAGCCATGCGCATGATCAGAGATCAAGAGAGCAAGCATTATGAGGAGAGGCTGAGAGGCATGGAACTCTTCACCCTGGAGAAGTGTAGAGCTCAGGGGGGACTTGGTGGCAGCCTATAAGTACTTTAGAGGTGTGCATCAGGATCTGGGGGAACAACTGTTCACCAGAGCACCACAGGGGATGACAAGGTCCAACAGTCACAAACTCCTGCAAGACCATTTTAGGCTGGACATAAGGAAAAACTTCTTTATTGTCTGAGCCCCCAAGGCCTGGAATAGATTCCCCCCAGAAGTGGTGCAAGCACCTACTCTGGACATATTCAGTAAGTGTTTGGATGATTATCTTGCTGAAGTGATCTGACCCCAGCTGACTTCCTGCCCTTTGGGCAGGGGGCTGGACCTTGTGAGATCACCGGGTCCAGCCCCCTGTCCAAAGGGCAGGAAGTCAGCTTGGGTCAGATCACCCCAGCAAGAGCATTATATTCACAAGAATCAGAATTTAGCCTGGCATAAGAAGGTGCAATGTGATTTGAAGTTGGCAGAGTTTCATTGGCTTATGTCAGTGTTGAATTTGGAGCCTTGTTTTATGTTATTGCTGACTAGCCTGCTGCTGTTTTCTGTTAGAAGATGGCTGCTTTACCTGGCCGAAACATTTTTATACTATATTCAGTGCTGGAACATGATGCCAGTGTGGTCAGGGTAGCTTGCTGTGATTCCAGAGGCATGCATTCAAGCTCTGCTAGAACTCATGATAAAGGCTGTCCCCCGTGGAACCTGCTGTGAATAGATGCCCTGGATGTTTATAGAATCTGAGGTGGGAGGACATAATGCTAGCCTTGTCACTTCTTTGTGTGCTGGTGGCTACAGGAAGTGGCATGGATTAGCCAAGGGTTTGATGGGCTGTTATGCTCAGTTGTACCTTTCATGTTGATCATCAGTACTGGGTTTGAAAGTCTTGTCTCTTGCTCTTGTGACACACATTTTCTCTCAGTTTTTTTATTTTCTTAAAGTCCTGGGAAGGGAGACAAAAAGTCTTATGGGGACAATGCACTGCATTCCTCATCCCTGTCTCTTTCTCTGGGTTTTTCACCTATGCAGAAATTTATAGAATTTGAAGATGCCCTGGAGCAGGAGAAGAAGGAGCTGCAGATCCAAGTTGAACACCTTGAGTTTCAGACCCGACAGTTGGAGCTGAAGACCAAAAACTATGCAGACCAGAGTAAGTAACACAGTGCACAGAACATATCTAACTTTTAAGTTGATAGTGACTGTTCCCACTGGATTTAGCAGGATAAACATCTATGACCAACAGCTGTATCTGAGACTTTATGGATCTTCAAAATTTTGTTTTGTTTTGTGTGTCTGTTATCTCACTTTCTTCATCAGCCATTGAACTTGCCATCATTTTGTACTGAAGGAAGCACTTTATATTTTTTTTAAATCTGGATACTAAATCCATTGCTATCAGCTGAGAAGTTAGTAGATCAGTGAGGTGCATTTGGAATTTGGGGGTGCCTGTGTTATTTTGCTGAATTTCTTTAGAATTGCATAAATTCTGGTCCAAAATGATTCTGCTATATAGAATTCACCTGAAGTCACTGAGGGCACTGATAGCTGTGGGGTCCGCAATGTAACTCATGGTGCTTTGCCAGAAGTGCCATGAGTTACAGTGATCCCCTGGGCCTAATCAATGTTTGCTGTTGGGTCTGGGGTGTTGGAGGATTGAGCTCCAGTTTGGAGTAGCTGCATGTCTGCAGCTGCTCTCCTCTAGCCCTGACCCCCTTCCCTCCCCCTCACAGCTCTGGTGCTGTCTTTAGAATGGGAAGGAGGGAAGGGAGAAGAGGGAGCTTGGTTTGGGGTTTGCCCAGCCTGCACTGGAGGGTGGGGCAGGTGGATTGAAGCACCCCCTCCATCCACCTGCCCCACTCTCCAGTGCAAGCCCCAGATGGAACTCCCTCCCCTCCCTTTGCCCCCTCCCATTCTGAAGACAACACTGGGGGTGGCGCTGGGCTATATCAGCCCAGCCCAGCTCCTGGCATGCACTGACACAAGTTAATGAAGTTGCTTTGCTTTGGAGCGCCTTCATCTGAATCCTCATGTAATGAGGGATCTGATTGTCATACAATCAGACACTTTTAAAGCACTCTGCAGCTGTATGCTTCTGTAAGAGCAGGCCTGTAGAGCACTTCGGGGGCCCACTTGTGCATCAAACTGTCACTTCTGTCTGTGCCCTGAAGTTACACCTGGGATTTCATGCTTCCACTTGTGCAATTTATACAAGTTCCTCATGTCCTTCAGATGATACCAAACTGTCTGGCAAAACCTTGATAAAATGCAAAGAATTGTATGGGGGATATTTGAACTATAAGCTGACCCTCACTTTTATTACTTGCCCTAGACATGGATACTCAGTGAATTTCTTTTATTCAATAAACAGAACAGCCTCCATTAAAACCCTTCATTGCTGCAATGTGATTACAGTAGAAGGGACGTCTGATGATATGATCTGAGAAGATGTCATTGGAAACTGAGTTTAAGGGACCATGAAATTAGCATATTGAATATGTGTTGGAGGCAGGGATATGGCCATTTTTTTTTCAACTGTGACTGCTCCTATTTGGTAACTGTAGGTTGACGGAAAGAAGGAAGGAGGTTTGAATGACAAATATCAATCTTACAGTTCACCACTTCTGAGTCACGGTTTTGAGACATTTCCCACTGTAAATACCTTCTGGCAAGAACTCTGACAAGAACAGTTAAAAAAAAAAAAAAAAAAAGAACAGTTTTTTTTCCCAGTGACAGCACTTCGTGGGCCCCAAAGTACATATGTGGTTATTAACTAATCAGTTCAACATAACCTGGAATGCTGTCATATAGGAGTTGAACAGAGAGCATACTCACTTATTTCCGTCTTGGCCCACACTAGGTTCTTTAAGACACTTCTGATGCACCAACTGTCTGACCTCAATTTTAATTTTACTCTTCTTTCTCTAACATGTGCATGGTTACAGAGGGCTGGATGAGGGCATCCTTCAGAATTTAGTTTTTTAGTGTCCAACATGACAGGTCCTCAGTCAAAAGAATCATCATAGAGTTGTATAATCCTAGCCAGCAAGGGTTGAGAACACAGCTTCAAGAGTGTTTGCATTTTCTAGAACAGTCGTTCTCAACCTTTTTAGACTCAAGGCACCCCTCAGAAAATGCCACTTCTTAGCTTTCACTTGTTTTTTTGACTATGGAAAAATAATAGAACAATTCTTGTATTGCAAAGAACTCAAAGACTAAAGCAGCTCAGAATTTTTTAACATTATGGATTCCTATTTGAAATCTCTGGGTTTATTGTGAATCATGTGTAGCTGTTTGCATACCTAACAGTGCCAACATTTCACAGCATCCCATTGCACACTTAAAAGGATCTCATAGAATCCAAGGGTGCCACAGTACCCTAGTTGAGAATCATTGGTCTGTCAGGTTCAAGTTTAATGCCTACCTAATTGTCTGTGAGTTGGTATTTTTGTTTAGTGGTAAGTCACTGAGCTGCACCCCAATGGATCCATCTCTACAGTTAATACTACATTACTTTGTGAGCCTTCCTAAAAGGGCTCTTGGGTATCTATGAGATGAACATTTAGTTAGGACTACCTGCTGCAGCATGAACTATTCTGATTTTTTTGAAGGAATGACCACATTTTTAATGAAACAAAACTTTTCTGCAGCATAAGATACTTCATTGAGAATAGCCTAGTGTTCCTTTTGGAATCTAACACACAGGCTGTCTCATGGTTGGAATACTGTCTTTTATAGTTTCACGGCTGGAGGAACGTGAATCAGAAATGAAGAAAGAGTACAATGCCCTCCATCAGCGCCACACAGAGGTATGTTATCATCTAATCATAGCTAAGTAAATATAATTGTCTGTCTACACATAGGTCTGCAAATTTGTGTTAAAGAAAATCAGCTCGGTGATAAAAAAGGCAAGAGGAGACCGAAGGTGCTAAGCTTATGATGAAATGCTCTGTCCCACTTCTCCAGACTTCCAGCTGCCACTGCTACTGTCTGGTGTCTAAGAAACTTTTTCATTGGTTCTGCCATAGACCATCTGTTGTCATCTTGGGTTTGAGGCTTGGTAACTTTCTGACTCCTTGTGCTTTTCTAGTAGACCCAGACTTACAATCTAATCTATTCACTTGTATCATCAGCCTTCATCAACAGCAGTAACAAATTTATGCAAAGGGAGAAATGGATGTGGGAAGATTGGGCTGAAGAGGAATTGATGACTTATCCTCAATCCTGTTTGGCTCATGGGTTTTTCCCTCTTTGCAGATGATCCAGACCTATGTGGAACACATTGAACGGTCCAAGATGCAGCAGGTTGGGGGAAATAATCAAACTGAGGGTGGTCTACCTGGGAGGAGGTAGGACCATATTCTTTCTATGTAGCATATTCCAGTCATAAGCTTATGAACTGTGTGTGTATGTGAGAGAACAGCTAAAGCCAGGATTCCTCCCTTGATAAATCTGTGGAAATGGATTGTACATGAAAATGTTATTTTGGTATAGGAAAGTGTTCATGAACACACACAAGAGAATTATGTGGTGCTATTCTGATAGCAAAGCCTATGATTTGTAATCTTACTCTTGTGTGGGCTTCCAAAAATATCTTCTTATATTTGAATGGCAAAATCTGCCCATAGGATGGGCAGGAGAAGGAGATTATATTATGGAGGACAGCAGAAAAGTAACAAAATAAATATACTTGTTGCTGTTTCTTTAAATAAAGAGATCTGTAAACAGACCAACCCACATAGACTTATTTTTGCCCAGCTTTTGCAGAACCCAAAGAAGTGAGTTGCTTTGCTTCATTTTGCTGGATCCAAAACAGTGAGAAGCAACCTTTGCTTTCAGATTGGTAGCAGTGGGGTATAAGCCCACAATGTGCAGTCTCTTGTTAAAGAAGTATAACTGCATTAAGTTTCATGGGGTTACTTCTGATTTATACCACTGTGAGACGAGAATCAAGAGCATTCTCTGTACTAAGAGAAATACTCTCCACAGCATGAGAAATAATTAAAATAGAGCTCTAAAATATTATTTAGAGAACTGTTATGTCATATAACAGTAGATCATTATCATAACTTATATCCACTCATATTGAGTACAAACTGTTCAGTGACTTTGCCAAGAGAAACATGGCCACATTGGGAGTTCATACTCATGCCAGACTACTACTTGGATTAATTGTTACACTGCCAGCATTGTGCTGATATATATAAAGGCTTCCTAGCCCAAGGAGGTGAGACTTTGAATAGTAGACACAGATTATACACAGTACACTGGGACACACAGAGGAAGGTGCTGAGTAGATTTCCCATTCTCATAGAAGACATTTGACTGATCTAGACTAATGTTTAGTGTTTCATGGAATAGGATTTTCTGAGGAATTTGATTGAGGAAAAGGCTGAGTCCAGCACAAAGGGACTGGCAGATCACTGTGCACAGAGGACAGAACAGAAGGCAGGAACAGGAGAAGGAAACTATGGAGTCAGCAACACATGGCATCATTAGCAAAAGCAAAGAGCATAAAATGGCCTGGAAATAGGTCAGTAGGAAACTGAAGCAGGTTTGTAAAGGAGATGGATGTAATTTCATGGGGATGAAGGATGGGAAGAGAACAATGGGGAAAACCTTGCAGACTAAAAGGGAGAAAAACATTTTAGAATTAAGGATTGGGGAAGAGAGGATATCTTTCTGGATTAAAATAGCCATGTTGGGCACTTAAATACCAAGATAGTAGGTGCCTCAGAAATACCCAGCATTGATAAATCCTCTGCTTAGCTGGGGAAGGTACTGTGCATTGTGCTAATTGTGAAGCAACTCCCAGCTCCCTCGCAACTGATTTAAATACCCCCTGCCTGCTATGGCTTCATCTTACTGAACTTCAGGTAATTTGAAACAGGCTGCACATTGATTGCCTGAGTGTTGGCTGTACATAGTAAGTGACAGAGAGAGAGAGACCCAGTGAAAGGTTTGGGGAGGAGAGAGAGTCTGAGACTAGCTCAGGGCATCTGTTGTCAGTGTCTCCTGTAAATATGCGGGACCCTTGCCAGCTCCCCTGCAGCTTTGATATTCCTTCTCTATCCAGTGTGAGATTTTCTGCCAAAACTGACAAACAAGAAGTCAAGGAACTGTTGGAGACTGAAAGAGATAGCTATTTGATAC